GAGAAACGCCATAAAATTGTATTTATCGTCATCAAAAGGCAATAGCTCTAGTCAACTGACGATTTCAACTATAAGACTGTTGTTCGACAATGTTAACTTATTTGTAGAACTTGTCTTGCTGATAATTTTTGCAGTTTAAAGTTTCTCTATCTATTATAATTTTAAAGATAATAGGCAAAAATGAAAAAAAGAGGTAAATTTGTAATTCTAAAAAGGGCAATAACTCCTACAGGAAATTGTCTGTCAGTTTTGACGTGTATGGACAATTGGTAGAGCTCAACATATTAAGCATTTATACCCTATTCAGTTTTCCTTCATTTATAACGATTATCAAAATAATAGACAAAACTTGCATTTAACCACATAGGTTTTATTCTTAGCCACGTCCACCATCTTTGATAGCAGGCGGGGTCACCGGACACATTTCTAAAAATCAATATCCTAATGGTTATTGTAGCCAAGTTTGGTTCTATTTGGCCCAATTGTTTAACTGGAAAAGATTTTTGTGAAAGATTACAAAAGTTTACGAAAAATTGTTTTAGAAATGACTATAAATGGCAATAACTCATTATGGGGTCTATTACCAGTTTTGGTTCTATTAACTTATTTGTGGATCTTACTTTGCTGAACATGATTGCTGATTACATTTTATCTCTATCTATAATAATATTCAAGCTATGGCATTTAAACAGTCAGAATGCGAATATATATGTTCAAACTCTTTGAGGTCATTTCTTAGAAACACCAAACAAAATAACTATGTAAATTGGACCTGCTTTGATACTATAATTATCCTTGCATTTTTACTTGATAAAATATTTATTCGCTATGGAGATTCCGTATATCGTCAAGTTATCGGAATTCCAATTGGTACTTACTGTATACCACTATTGCGGACCTTTTTCTGTATTGTTATGAGTTACAATTTATGACTCAAATCAGCAAAGATCCATCGAAAAAAACATCTGATACAAAAATTTAATAACTCTTAAAGATCTTTTGATGATATATTGGCTCTTAATAATGACGACTTCAGTATGTACACTAAATAGATTTATCCTGCCGAACTTACTTTAAATAAAGTTAAAACTGAACTATTAACACTGCCCCTTCCTGGATCTTGATATCTATATCTTTAACGAGAAGCGTAATACCCAAATTTATGAAAAAAGATAGGATTTTTCATTTGCTGTTGTTAATTACCCAGTTTTAGATGGTGACGTTCTTATGTCAACATCGGAAGGTGTTAACTTTTCTCAACTGATTGGATGCGCTTGTGTTTGTAACAACGTATTTGATTTTAAGAAAACATATATGTGTTACTGAAAAATTATTACACCAGGGTTTTCGATATCACAAACTAGTTACTATCGGTACATGGACATCATTCGTAAATATAAATCAACATGCATACATCTTGTACGTTCAGGTATTTCACATCCAATCTTTTATGGTAATATTCTTTACAAAGCACAAAAATGTCGGCAATCACCTCAAAAGCTAACCAAACCCTTAATAAGACATATTCAGAAGGGATAAAGTTACGATAATGTAGTCAAGCCATGAAGGATGGCATATTTTGGTATAGACATAGGGTAGGGACATATAAACTGTTAAAAATATTAGATTGTTTAATTGGTAGCTGGAACCCGTGAAAAACACATATATTTAAACAGTTTCCGCTATGATCTAATTCGAAAACATCATTAAATTTTTCACCACAATACAATTAAAATATGTTTTCTCACTATAATATCTTAGCATCACTTTCCAATTTGACTTACATTTGACTTAACACATACACAATATCACCGCTAATGCTAACATAAAAACAAGGACATCATTCGTAAATATCAATCAACGTGAAGACATCTTATACGTTTAGTTACTTAACATCCCATCTTTTCAACCCACCATTTTTCTTAAAACGTTCTGTACCAAGTCAGGAAAATGGCAATTGTTATCTTAAAGTTCGTTTCTGTGTGTGTTGCATTGTCGTTTGGTTTTGTTGCACTTTAGTGTTTCTGTAGTTTTGTTGTTATCCTCTTATATTTGATGTGTTTCCCTCACTTTTAGTTTGTAACCCGGATTTGTTTATTTCTCAATCGATTTATGACTTTCGAACAGCGGTATACTTCTGTTGCCTTTATTTATGGTGATATATTATACAACGCACTAACATGTCGTCATTCATCTCAAAATCTAACCGAACTTTTAAACAATCTTATTCAGAAGGGATATAGGTACGATACCGTAGTCAGGTCATTAAGGATGGCATATTTTGGTATTACTGTGGATTCATTAAAGTTCGTTGGATACCAATTTTCGTGGATTTCGTGGCTACAGGTGAACCAAGAAATTAAATGTTCAACGAATGGCAACTTTTCTATAGGCTTGTATATCAAAACCACGAAAATAATTATCCACGAACATGCAAGTTTTCCCTTATCCACAAAAATTGGTACCCACGAAAATAAATGAATCCACAGTCATATTGATTCACTCATAGGGTCTTTGCATCGGAAATGGACACATTTATTAGAAAACCATTTGCTGGCATGACATGGGTTATGTTCTTCTCGTACATTTCATGATGGTATGACACTAAACCCCTATCGGGAGGGATTGTGATTGATTTTTATCTGATGAAGACATTATATATTTTAATCAGTTTAATTGAGGTCTGGTAAGTAACTACTAGTAGTCTTTTGTTGATTTATGTATCATTGTCATATTGTTTGTTTCTGTAGTAAAGTATTCTAGCATCGTACTCGGACTTCTTTTGAACTGAGTTTTACTGTGCGTTTTGCTGTGTTTATTTATTCCACATTGGCTAGAGGTTCAGGGGAGGTTCAAGATCTCACGAAATAGATTTAAACCCGCCACATTTTTGCTCCTGTCCCAAGTGTGGAGTTTCTTGATTTTGGCTCATCTATGTATTTTGGATTTTATTGTGACGTCCATTTAAGCTGGGGCAGTATCCAATCATCGTGTAGGGACCAGCTGTATCCGGCCATTGAAAAACCATTGTCTTGTTATATTCATATATTCTTTGTATAATATACAATATGCATGCTGTTCGACATGTTCAATTAAAATTTTACCTCAAAATTTGGCCATGAATGTTGTGTCTTCTCTACTAAAATTTGTCTGTTTGTCTTTTTATTTTAAGCCATGGCGTTGTCAGTTTATTTTCTATCTATGAGTTTGATTCTCCCTCTGGTATCTTTCGTCCCTCTTTTATCTTTCAATGTAAGAGTATTACCTGATCCTATTGGTAGCACAACTTCTTTGGTCCCGAAAAGGTGGTGGCTAATTTGAGGTGTGACAGTCCAGTCGGATTCTGGTTTGTATTTACCAGGTGATCAGGATGTCCACATAAAATGCTACTCCTCCTCCACTTGATACCAAAAGAAGTGAGTAGGACACAGAATATTCTCCCATGATAGAAAATATACCAGCCTGATAACAAATCAAAGCATGAAAATGCCCCTCATCTAAGCATGTACATTTTCCAAGTTTGTAGGAAATCAAATGGTTTCGTATGTCCTTCGTACACTTTTAGTATAAAAACCCATCCTTTTTTTAAATGAGAATCATAGAGGAGTTATAAAACTTCAATTTGGTGTATAGTTATACATGGTTCTTACTTGTTCATTCAAGTAAGCATCATAGAATAGTGTGCTATTTACAAAGGAATGATAGGAACAACTAGTGATTTAAAATCATTAATTTTATTTGTATCACTATTTGTTGATGACATTTTTTTGTATATTCATATCTTTAATACTATAGTGAAGATATTTAAACAAAATAAACTGAGAATTGGTATATTGGATGAATCACTTTTTTTTATATCTGCCTGGTTCTTACAAATAGCTGTACTTAAGTATATTCTTACCTTAAAGTTTGAGGTTGAGGTAGAAGCGGTCACATCAACTTGAAACTTTTTACAAATGATTCAGTTTTTGGCGGACTTTTTTCATTTTCATTCCAAATTACAATTGTGACCCCTATTTCACGGTTCACTGAAAACGAACAAATCTTTTGTTGATATTTCCCACGTCTAAAAAGTTTCCATTAAACATGGTAAAGCTAGTATGTAACCGGTAGTTATTTTATCAAGTTTTATATATTCAACTCTGTAAAATGTGTGTTGAAATTAAAAGTTATTGTTACAACAAACATACCTGGCAACAATATAAAACACAAGGCAATGCATTTTCAATATATGATACAATTAGATACACGGTACTGGGCTAAAACATGTCCTGTTTGTCTCATATTTACACCAACACTCTTTGTTCATAATAAAAACCCACCTCTAATTAAACTAGAAAAACATAAAATAAACATGGACTGATTAAAACTGTAAATGCATGTGCAGATATTTGAATACTAAATTTTCATCTTCGATTTTAAATACCGATTTTTGTTACCAAAAATATTTAATAAACGTGGTTTGATTTTCCAAGCTTTGAAAGTGAGTTTTTTCATTGAATAATTTAATAGTTTTGTATGCATATCAGGTAACACGTACCCTGTCGGAATAAACTGACAACGCCATGACACAAACGAAAAAAAATAAAAAAATATCTGTTTATTCAAAATGACTTTCACAAATTAAGATTTAAAGTAACTAAACCAATATTTTATATAATATGTATTGTTCGTCAGTTTGTAGTGAAATGTTGCTCCATCAAGTTCATATAGCACTTTTTTCTAGTACAATTATATATTGAACATATATAAATATATTTTACCCTGCCTCGTAGACAAAAAATCACAAATGTCATAATTTTGGCAGTTCAACAGATGTCACAATTAGTTCATTAACAAAAGTCTCTTTACAGCAGATATACAAAATTCGAACGGGAATAATTTAAGTGATTGTAAAAATACGTGTCTTGCAGATTCCTTATCGCCTAATAACTGTAGAGCGATTCCCAACAGATTATAAGCTTCTGCTTTCACATCTGCAGATACCATTAAATAACCTTCATCTATAACCAATTGTGAACATTGGAGGGAATCTAGGCATTGTCTGACATTATTGAGATGGTAATAACAAAGGAAATTAAGGAAATAAGCTTACGCTGTAGATGAAAATACTCAAATTTCATTCAATTGGTTCATTTGAAGTTCATCTGGTATTAACGTAGAATTCATATCAAATAGTATATCGTTCACAACCAATATTTTCAGCAAACACACCAAACTCTTTTTCTGAAATATTTGCAGTTTTACCAACTGGTAATGGATATCCGATATAGTCCTCAAGTAAAGTTTTTCAGAAGTATATTTCGATAAAGAATAACTGATGATGTATAAGGCTTTACTGTATTGTTTTGTCTTATAGAAAAGGGTAGCAACCATCAGCCATCCAGATACAGCGTCATGATAGATATTATCTGTGACAGCACTAAGACAGGATTTGTACTGTTTGTATAGGTGCCATCCAGATACAGCGTCATGATAAATATTATCTATGACAGTACTCAAACAAAGTTTGTACTGTTTACATTGGTATTTATTATTAATTAATGTACTAATGAGTGGTACACACTTGGCATGTACTTGACACCACTTTGACATGTAGAATTTATATATGTCTTTAATAGTAGATCCGGAAGACTGCTGACAAAAACATGTCTGTTTCATTCTCATATTGACTATATTCGATGGCGTGACTGATAAGGATATATTTGCCAAATGCCATAACTTGGATGAAATTATTTTTTCTACTTCTTTGGAATATAGTGTATGCGGTTCAAAGGGGAAATTCCAAATTGATAAATTAAAGTAAGATATTTGATCAGAAAATAAAATGCATCGCCAATTATTACTATGCAACATATATAATTTTTCTAAAAGTACTTCACGAGCACGGCCCACAGTTTTGTTTTCGAACATGTTGTTCTCTAGAATGAAGTAGTGTAAGCAAACTGAGTGCTTAACACAATACACCAGCCTGCTAAAACATCGCATAAAACAAGGAATAATGTAATCAGGTTTCCATACGGATTGCGGCAGTTCTTCAGATATCCAGAACACAATTGTTTTCAGAAAGTAAGAACAGAGTAAATCTTCACATTCGGAGAAAGTAGCTATTACATCTTTCAATATAATTTTAAAGAGAGCATAGCACAGTAGTTGAGTGTGTGTAAAGGTATTAATTAGAAATTTTTCACCAACTGAAAATGATATTCGCCATTCTAGATCTTCTTTTGGTGAGCCCTTAACTCCAACCGGTACAAAAAGTACTCCGTGTTTTATAATACTTTGTTTGACATTATGACTAGGCCATGAGTTATTGGATCTTGTGATCCACTGTCCTGCAGGAGATACCCACGTGTTACATTGTAAGCAACAATCTACGTCCAAATATCCTGTCGAGTCAGATATACAGGGTCCATGAATCGTACTTTGATAAAATACATGTTAGCATTAAATAACAAAAAAGCACTACAAATAGTATGAACAGGTCAATGATTTTTGTTGACGTTCAGTTGTTTATATAATGTACTCGAAAAATAATGTTTACCATTTTGTTCTTCACAGTGTTTTAAAACTCCTCTCCGATCTAGTTTCAACTGAGTATAACCAGGTTTGACATCGTCTCTATCCATTGAAAAATATGTTATATTTTGATTAAACTGTAGTTTTAAATCTTCATAAACCTCTAACGTTCTAGATACATTCATTCAATCTAAATCACTGCCTCGCATATCAAGTCCTTCCCCAAAGCTTCCACTTGTTATAATTGGTTCTTCCTTTTCACTTGATAAAATGTCCCTGATAGCGTTCATCAATCTGACTGTTTTAACATGATCCTCTGAGCCTACTATATGTTGACACAGATAACGATACAGTGCCATTGATATGTTTGGTGTTACAGTGTCTGTGATAAGAAAAAAAAATGAAAACTGTGAATAAAAAAAAACATTATTTAATTATTAGAGTAAATACATATTACATGAAATACAGATTAAACTGTATTCAAAACTTAAACATAGATAAGGATACAGTGCTATTGGTATGTTTGGTGTTTCAGTGTCTGTAATTAGATAACGATACAGTGCTATTGATATGTTTGGTGTTACAGTGTCTGTAATTAGATAACGATACAGTGCTATTGATATGTTAAGTGTTTCAGCGTCTGTAATTAGATAACGACACAGTGCTATTGATATGTTTGGTGTTACAGTGTCTGTAATAAGATAACAATACAGTGCTATTGATATGTTTAGTGTTTCAGTGTCTGTAATAAGATAACGATACAGTGCTATTGATATGTTAGGTGTTACAGTGTCTTTAATTAGATGACGATACAGTGCTATTGATATGTTTGGTGTTATAGTGTCTGTAATTAGATAACGATACAGTGATATTGATATGTTTGATGTTACAGTGTCTGTAATAAGATAACAATACAATGCTATTGATATGTTTGGTGTTACAGTGTCTGTAATACGATAACGATAGAGTGATATTGATATGTTTGGTGTTATAGTGTCTGTAATTAGATAACGATACAGTGATATTGATATGTTTGATGTTACAGTGTCTGTGATAAGAAAAAAAAATAAAAAAACTGTGAATAAAAAGGTTTACTATTAAAGTAAATACGATTTACATGAGACACAGATTAAATTTTATTCAAAATGTAAACATTGACCATAATGCATTCGAATAACAATGTGTACTATTTTGTTCTTCACACTGTATATTTCTTTGTTCACATGACAACTATCGTGAATTGTATATGTATATGATATGTACCATTTAAGCAAAAAAAAAATGTTATGTATAAAACTGCTAAATTCAAGAGAAAATAGCTTTTAGAGATATAACTGGTTTTCAAAATTGAGATTAGAAATAAAATAGAACTTTATTCGTAGCAAGACCGGGGTACTCAACATGATAAGCATATCCTGCTATACATGTTTCGCCTTGACTCTAAACGTAACAAGACCGGGTTCTCGACATAATAAGCATATCCTGCTATACATGTTTCACCTTGTCACGTAACAAGACCGGGACACTCAACATGATAAGCATATCCTGCTCAACATGTTACACCTTGTCTCTGAACGTAATAAGACCGGGACACTCAACATGATAAGCATATCCTGCTATACATGTTACACCTTGTCACGTAACAAGACCGGGGTACTCAACATGATAAGCATATCCTGCTCTATATATTTCACCTTGTCACGTAACAAGACCGGGACACTCAGCATGATAAGCATATCCTGCTCTACATGTTTCACCTTGTCACGTAACAAGACCGGGACACTCAACATGATAAGTATATCCTGCTCTACATGTTTCACCTTGTCACGTAACAAAACCGGGACACTCAACACCATAAGCATATCCTGCTCTAAATGTTTCACCTTGTTAATCATTCATTCAAAAATATACAAGAGAGAAAATATGCATTTGAATTAAAACTGTAACAAACATAGAATTACATTGATTTTTGGTAGAAATGTTCAAAACGTGTAAACCGGATAATTGATTTCTAATGTCTTTACTATTTTGCCGCAAAAAAAAAAACGTCAATTCGATGTTTTAATTAAAAGCAGGACAAACCCATTTATGTTTCAGCCTTGTAATTGACTGCTCCATAGTCTTACATGCAAAACAGCTGATCTTTGAAAAAGTTTTAAAAATAAAATGCTTAATAGAAATTTTGTTCATGGACATATCATGTATTTAGCGATGTGAAATTGTGATTTAATGGGGAAAATTTGGATCATGCCACGCAGAATAAAAGGTAAGGAAACCCTGAAGTCAAAACCACTACTTTCTACTTGCTGTTTTTACTATGCCGCACTTCTTCCAGTAAACATGATCTTCTTCCACTTTCCTGGTTTGATTTCCCAAAAAAGATGCAATATTTTTTTTTATCTAAACGGATGTTTCAATTCAGCATCAACTTTTCATCAAACAGAAAAACAATGTGTCCAGAATATTTTTTTTGAGAAAAATATAAACTTTTATTTCACTCCATGCACCGGAAACTGGAGTTGTAAAACAAGACTGGTACCTTTAGACTAAAAAAGTAAACCAGAACTCCAATCAATTAAAGAAATTGAGATAGTTTGCTACTGATCCCCTACTGGTCCATATAGGGTAGTTAAAATCCATAGCGGTTTATGTTTGCTGTTTTTTAATGATGTGTTAAATAAAAGACAGGCGAAAGATACCGGAGGGACAGTCAAACTCATAGATCGAAAATAAACTGACCCCTGAACCAAGGTCTACCCCCTTAATGCAAACGTTGGTTGTTTGATTTATCAGCTGTGTTGAATTACTTTCTTCCATTTTCCTTGTGAAAACAGAAATTTATGATACAAGGAAATAAAACATTTATCACATGACAATCAAGGGCGTCATTCAGATATTCGAGGACACATTTCCCGTTGAATTATTAATTGTAATGATTTCATAAATGGTCGGCTGATAAGCAACTTAGTCAGTTTATTGGTCTGTTGAGAGTTAACCCAAGTTTACTGTCATCTATTTTATATCTAAAGATTATAAGGACACATATTTCATTATCTTAATTTGATACTTAAAGACTGTTTTTTAACTTTAACAAGAAAATGATATTTAAGTTTTTCGAATCAAATAATGTGCTTTGTACTGGTATAGATTTACTCATTGACAGGAACACCAAATGCGAAGGAACATCAAGTGGAATAATATCGAAATTCTTCCGGTTTCAGGAACACAAAGTACAAAGGAACAGTGAGAGGGATTGTATCGAACTCCTTCCGATTTCAGACACGCCAAAAACGACGGAACAGTGAGCGGAATTGTATAGAACTCCTTCTGATTCCAGGAAGGAAAAATGTGAAGGAGCATTGAGAGGTACTGTATCAAAATCCGTCTGGTTACACAAATACCAAATACGAAGGAAGAGTGATATGAATTGTATCAAACTTCTTCCAGTTTCACGAACGCCAAATACGAAGGAACGGTGAGAGGAATTGTATCAAACTTCTTCTTGTTTCAGGAACGACAAATACGAAGGAACAGTAACAGGAATTATATCGAACTCCTTCTGATTCCAGAAACGCCAAAAAAAGAAGAAACAGTGGGTGGAATTATATCGAACTCCTTTCAATTTTAGGAACGCCAAATATAAAGGAACACTAAATGCGAAGGAACAGTGGAAGCAATTATATCGAACTCCTTTCGGTTTCAGGAACGCTAAATGCGAAGGAACAGTAAGAGGAATTGTATCAAATTTCTTCTGATTTATGGAAAGCCAAATGCAAAGGAACAGTGAGCGGAATTGTATCGAATTCCTTCCGGTTTCAGGAACACCAAATGCGAAGGAATCGTGAGAGGGGTTGTATCAAACTCCTACCGATTACAGGAATGCAAAGTGCAAAGGAACAGAGAACGAAATTGTATTGAACCTTTTCCTTTTTGGAATTTATGTAAATTCATTTGATTCTTTGCTTTATCATGGAATTAACTTCTTGTTTTGTTTTTAAACAAATTTCAGGATGACAAATGATATAACAAATATGTCATAGATTTTATTATGAAACTTACATAGAGGTTAAAAGATTTCGTTCAATATTGACGGATTTAATCACGTGAAACATGAATGAAAAGAAATTAGTAAATAAATTTGCCAAAGTTAAATGGTTATAAATTCTCAAAAGACTGCTTTAACTGTATAGTTCTCATCAACGGAAAGTTTATTTCTAGTTCTATGAAAATATATTGTATTTAGCATTCTTTTCTCGATAAACACAATTACTAGGCATTTAGTTTCTTTCGTGTCAAGAGCAAAGTTCACTTTTTATTTCCGCATCTCTAATTTATTATTTCAGTTATAAAAGATACCATCAAATATAAAATAATTTGTGTTTCACCACAAGGTCGAATTGTGTGGTTTGCATAGAACCTTTTTTCTGTTAAACTTTTTATTCCATGGAGTTCGGTATTTTTGCTATTTTACTTTTTGATACTATATAAATGTTTACCTAAAGTATTTATACATAGGACATTGTTGTAACAGCACAATATTACAAATTATTGTGAATCTAAGTAGGAAAGGTCTTGGCTATTCAGGTTGCAATGAAAGACGTAACAAAAACCAATAGGCAATGTAACAATTAAAGGGTATTTGCCGTTAATGAAAAAAGACCAAAGCCTTATTCATATGAATATTTTGTATTGTGAATCATATATACAATAAATATAGTATAACAACATCATGTGATTGTTTGCATAAAAAAATATAGTCGGATCATGACCATTGAATGCCGATAAATATTAATTAAACAATCAATTAACATATAACATAATCATTATACATTAATAAGAATAAAACAGAAGTGAAAGCAAAAACTTGATTTCCCTATGTTGTATATGATTCTCTATTTTACTGCATACCCAAACTGTTTACCATTCTTAAAAGGGTTAACAATTTAAACAAACACGCTTTATATTCGATATTTTAATTGTTTGACTCAATAGTTCGAAGGAGAAGTGACTCGACACATGCCGTCAAGTCATTCGAGATGGCGAGTTACATAGTAGGTTCTACTAGATAAAATTATCATTTAAATGTATATTTTGATCTTTTTAAACAAATGCTTTTGATAAAAAGCTGCATAAAACATTAAAAAAACAAATTTCACATTGATAAGTCAATAAACATGTACTTTGCGGAAGTTATAATGCAAAAAAATCACGGAAATATTAATTGCGGAAGTTCATATTGTGGTTCAGGCAAATGGATATATTCATCTGTCCTCTTCGCTGAATTGTGTCGAAGTCTTATTCTTGTTAAATCATTTTTGTCATCATTCAATAGTGTTTTATTATTTTCTGTTCAAACTTATGAAATGTACCCGATGAAAAATAATACAGAAACCTGCTTAGTAGCCGAAACTAGGTTCTGAAAACTAAAATGTTGTTTTCCTTTTAGTATGAAAAAAAAAGTAAAATAACAGAAACACTGAACTCCGAGGAAAATTCAAAACGGAAAGTCTATAATTGAATGACAAATTCAAAAGCTCAAACACAACAAACGAATGAATAACAACTGTCATATTTCTGACTTGGTACAGGCATTTTCTTATGTAGAAAACGGTGGATTAAATCTGGGTTTATAACTAGCTTTATACACTCTATTAATGGCTACTTGTGAATAGTATAACGATTATTTGATTTTGATTTAATATTCAATCTTTGAATAAACAACTATACCTGAAGATATAATATCAATGCAGTTATGAATAAACATTTATGAAAATAAGTACAAGGCAATTCAGTTCGTATTCCAGAAAAGTCCTAGAATAGGGAAATGTCATTTTTAAAGTTACTTTTATATAGGGAGAAGAATAAATGACATAAGAGTAATGCCAAGTATGCAAAACTATTAGACATTCCTCAAAACTATTAGATATTTCCTAAAACTATCATACGATACTGATAGATGACGGGTAATACAATCAATTTCGTTGCGCGAATCATAATTGATACAATTTACTCATGTTGAACTATCATTCCTTTTCGAAAAATCATTTAAATCTCTAAATATTGTTACGGACATTGATTCGTGAACCTTCACACACTGATTCTGGACATGAAAGCGTCACTGCCTTGGGATATGTAAAAAAATGTTTCATTGGCCTTTGTAGTAATACATATTCGTATATGCATCGCAGCGTCATGCAAGAATATGGCGTTGTTGGCAGATGGATAAAATACTACATGATCTTTGGTATTATCCGCTTTTTGGTGTTGTTTTTTTTATGAAACTTTAGAATCTATTTTATCATACGCCATTTTCCCAGACATCCCATAGTAGAAATTATTACAATTTTCAAATGTAAAATTATTGATGGTAAAGTAAAATAACAAAAATACCAAACTCCGAGGAAAATTCAAAACGGAAAGTCCCTAATCAAATGGCAAAATCAAAAGCTCAAATACATCAGACGAATGGATAATAACTGTCATATAAGTTCTCTCCCTTGACTGTTTTTTGTCATTTTATATACAGTTGGAATGTGGTGAATTGCTTATCCGTTTTTCTTATTCGTTGAAAGTCATGATAAAATAATGAAAATCTAGTATTTCTGACATACAGAGAGCATGACAGATAGCTTGGCAAGGATTATGTATCATATCGTCTGCATTAAACCATTCGATCCCTTATCAGTATGTGTCCTTACCTTCAAGAAGGACACCATAATCTCTAAATATAAGGTTTATTCCGAATACTACCAAAATGTCATGTTCGAACTGTCAACAATATAAAACACAAGTCCATGCATTTTCAATATATGATAAAATTAGACACACGTTACTGAACTTAAACATGTCTAATTTGTCTCATATTTACATCAAAACTCTTTATTCATAAAATAAACCACCTGTAATAGAACTAAAAAAAGGTAAACTAAACATGGTCTGATTAAACTTGTGAATGCTTGTGCAGATATTTGAATAATAAATTTTCATTTTCGAAATTAAGTACTAATTTTTGTCCTCATTTTCCACAAAAAGATTTTACAAACGTAGTCTGATTTCCAAGCTTTGCAATTGAGTTTTTCGTTGAAAAATTTAACAGTTTTGCATGCATATCAGGAGATTCGTACCCTGTCGGAATATACTGAAAATGACATGACCAAAAAGAAAAACGACAAAAACAAAAACAAAAACAAACAAAATCTCTTTTTTCAAAGTGACTTTCACAGACAAATAATGTAACTAAATCAATTTTTATACATGATATGTATTGTTCGTCATTCTGTAGTGACATGTGGCTCCATCAAGTTCATACTCTGCTTCATAGACAAAAAAATCACAAATATTACAATTTTCTTAAGTTTAACTGAAAACACATATGTCACAATTAACCTATTAACAAAAGTCTCTTTATAGCAGAGTTGTAAGATTCGACCGGGCATAAATTAACTGATTGTAAAAATGCGCGTCTTGCGGATTCCTTATCGCCTAATAACTGTAGAGCGATTCCCAACAGATTATAAGCTCCTGCTCTAAAAATTTTAAATCTTAATAAATAACCTTCATCTATAACCAGTTGTAAACCTTGAATGGAATCTTGGCATTGTCTGACATCATTGAGATGATAATAACAAAGGAAATTAAGGAAATAAGCATACGCTGTAGATGAAAATACACAAATTTGATTCAATTGCTTCATTTGAAGTTCATCTGGTATTAGCGTAGAATTCTTTTCAAATAGTACATCGTCCACAACCAATGTTTTCAGCAAACACACCAAACTCTTTTCCTGAAATGTTTGCAGTTTTAGCAACTGGTAATGGATATCCGACAAAGACATCACGTAGCACAGTTTTTCGGGAGTACATTTTGATAAAGAATAACTTACGATGTATAAAGCTTTACTATATTGTTTTGTCTTATAGAAAAAAGTAGCAATCATCAGCCATCCAGATACAGCGTCATGATAGATATTATCTATGACAGTACTAAGACAGAATTTGTACTGTTTGTATTGGTATTTATTATTACTAAATGTACTAATGAGTGATACATACTGGGCATGTACTTGACACCACTTTGATATGAAGAATTTAAATATATCTTTTCTAAAAGACTCGGAAGATTGCTGACACAAAAATGTCTGTTTCATTTTTATATTGACTATATTCGATGGCGTGAATGTGAAAATAGCATTTGACAAACTCCATATATTGGATGAAAGTATTTTTTCAACTTCTTTTGAAAATAGTATATGCGGTTTGATGGGGAAATTCGAAATTGATAAATTAAAGTTAGATATTTGATCAGAAAATAAAATGCATCGCCAATTATAACTATGCAACATATATAGTTTTTCTAAAAGTATTTCACGAGCACGGCCCACAATTTTGTTTTCGAACATGTTGTTCTTTGGAATGAAGTAATGTAAGCAAACTGAGTGCTCAAAACAATAATCCAGCCTAATAAAACATCGCATAAAACAAGGAATAATGTAATAAGGTTTCCACACCGACTGTGGCAGTTCTTCAGATATCCAGAACACAATTGTTTTCAGGAAGTAAGATCAGAGTAAATCTGCACATTCGGAAAAGGTAGCTATTACATCTTTCAATACAATTTTTAATAGAGCATAGCATAGTAGTTTAGTGTGTGTAAAGGTATTAATTAGAAATTTTTCACCAACTGAAAAAAATATTCGCCATTCTAGGTCTTCTTTTGGTGAGCCCTTAACTCCGATCGGTACAAAACGTACTCCGTGTTTTATAATACTTTGTTTGACATTATGACTCGGCCATGAGTTATTTGATCTTGTGATCCACTGTCCTGCAGGAGACACCCACGTGTTACAATGTAAGCAACAAGCTAAGTCAAAATATCCTGTCGGGTCAGATATACAGGGTCCATGAATCGTGCTTAGATTATTATGAAATGAGTTGACGTTTAGTTTTTTATATAATGTACTCGAAAAATAATGTTTACCATTTTGTTCTTCACATTGTTTTAAAACACTCCGAAATTTGCAGTAATCAAGTTTCATCTGAGCATAACCAGGTTTAACGTCGTCTCTATCCATTAAAAAATATGTTATACTTGGATTAAACTGTAGTTTTAAATCTTCATAAACTTCTAAGGTTCTTGATACATTCATTACGTCTAAATCACTGCCTCGAATATCGAGTCCTTCCCCTAAGCTTCCACTTGTTATAATTGTTTCTTCCTTGTTACTATGTAAATTGTCCCTGACAGCGTTCATCAATCTAATTTGTTTAACATGATATTCTGAGCCTACTATATGTTGACATAGATAGCGATACAGTGCTATTGATATGTTTGGTGTTACAGTGTCTGTAATTAGACCAAATGTAATGAAAACTGTTTATCAAAGTAAATACATTTTTACATGACACACAGATCAAATTTTATTCAAAATGTAAACATTGATAATAATGCATTCGAATAACAATGTTTATTATTATGTTCTTCACACTGTATTATGTCTTTGTTCCCATGACAACTAACGTGAATTGTGTATGTATACGATATGTAACATTTAAACAAACAAATCATGTTATGTATAAAATAGGTTAACTTAAGCGAAAAAATGTATACTTGTGAAAAGCAAGACCGAATATGTTAATAACCTGCAGAATTAAATAAACTCTGAACGTAGCAAGACCGAGTATGTTGACAACCTGTGGAATTAAATAAACTCTGAATGGAGCAAAACGGAGTTTGTTGATAACCTGTGGGATTAGATGAACTCTGAACGGAGCAAGACCGAATATGTTGATAAACTGTAGGATTAAATAAACTCTGAACGTAGCAAAACCGAGTATGTTGATTACCAGCAGCCGGTTGTACGAACGTGTCATTAGGCTAATGAGTCATTAAGTCTTCATTAACCTAATGCATCATAAAGGCTAAATGAAAACTTAATGACCCATTAGGCTAATGCAACGTTCGTACAACCGGCTGCAGTGGGATTAAATAAACTCTGAAAGCAGCAAGACAAAGTATGTTGATACCTGTTGGATTAAATAAACTCTGAATTGAGCAAGACCGAATATGTTGATAACATGTGGGATTAAATAAACTCTGAATGGAGCAAGACCGAGTATGTTGATAACATGTGGGATTAGATAAACTCTGAAAATAGCAAGACGGAGTATGTTGATAACCTATCGTTTAATCCTTTCTAACCGATTTCGCGGCGATTTAAATACGCGATTCTCAAATTTACTTGATGTAGATAGATAAGGGAAAATCCAAGTTTTACATATTCGCGACCATTTATAATCGCGTTATTTTTCTACTCGCAAAAGTTGCGAAAATAAGTTGGTTTACAGTATAAACAAGAAAAAGTGGTGTGCGTGCCAATGAGAGAACTCTCCATCCAAATCACAATGGGTAAACAGTAAACAATTATAGGTCAAAGTACGGCCTTCAACACGGAGCCTTGGCTCACACCGAACAGAAATGGCCCCAAAATGACTAGTGTAACTATTCAAACAGGAAAACCAACGGTCTAATCTATATAAAAAAACCTTACACGCCAATCATGCTTCTTTGGCACTCATACCAAATCTTCTTATTCCTGTTCATTCAAAAATACATAAGAGAGAAAACATGCATTTGAAATAAAACGGTAACAAATATGGAATTACAGTGATTTTGGGCAAAAATATTAACACATATTAATCAGATAATTGATTGCTTATGTCTTTACTATTTGTTGCAAAAAAACAAACGTCATGTCCATGTTTTAATTAAAAGTAAAACACCTATTTAGGTTGCAGTCTTGTACTTGATTGCTCCATAGGCTTACATGCAAAACAGCAGATTTCTGATTTTTTTCCAAAAAAAAATGCTGCATAAACAAAAATTTCATCTACATATCATGTATATAGTAATTTGAAATCGTAATATAATTGGGAAAAAGTAGGTCATGCCACGAAGAATAAAAAGTAAGAAACCCTAAAGTCAAAACGACTTTTTTCTACTTTCTTGTTGCTGTTTTTACGCAGTTGCACCACTTCCAGTGAATATGATATCCTTCCACTTTCCTGATTTGATATTCCAAAAAAGATACAATATTTTTTTATGTTTCAATTCTGAATAAACTTTTGATAAAACAGAAAAAATTGAGTCCAGAATGTTTTTGTTTTTTTTTTTAAATTGACTTTTATTTCATTCCATGTTTTGACATGCACCGGAAACTGGAGTTGTAATACAAGACTGGTACCTTTAGACTAAAAATGTAAACCAGAACTCCAATCAATTGAGGAACAGATGTATGTTAAATGGTTTGTTACTAACCCCCTATTGGTTCAAATAGGGTAAATAAAATCCATAGCAATTTTATGTTTGCCCTTTTTTAATAATGTGTTCAATAAGAATTAATGTTCCGTAATAACGTTACCATGGTTACACGTGAGAACTAAGTGATCAGTCATACCCATGTGTATTTTGAAACACAACAAATAGGCCCATACGGAAATGTTTTCCCAAAACCTTAATATTGTGTTTTGATTTAAACTAGGAAATTGCTATTTTCCATTGTTTAATATCTATGTAATGTTTCCCTTAGTTTGGTTCTAGAAGACTTTGCATGGAATTGTCTGAGACAGGCACTTAAGGCTGTTCGCCTCTTTTGTTTTTGAATTTTTGTCAGAGATTCGGATTCCTCTGGTTTTATCCATGTAGTACAATTTAAAAAAAAATCCCTGCTAACAACTACATTTCTCTTCATAATTTTATTCCATATAGTTAATAGTCAAAAGTACCAGGCTTCTAATTTAATACACCAGATGCGCGTTTTGTCTACATAAGACTCATCAGTGACGCTCAGATCAAAATAGTTGTAAAGCCAAACAAGTACAAAGTTGAAGAGAATTGATGACCCAAATTTCAAAAAGTTGTGCCAAATACGGCTAAGGTTATTTACGCCTGGGATAAGAAAATCTTAAGTATTTCGAATAATTCATACTTTTGCAAACAGAAAACTTTTAAAAATGACCATATAATTCATATAAAGAGCCATATATGAAAATCCTATAAAATCCTTGTCATTTTTTCTCAGTTTTTGAAAGAATTTTCAAATATTCCTCTTTAAACTATATAAAATAAAATTGTGTTAAATGAATGAAAAATCTAGAAAGTTATTTCACGCCAAATTTGAATGGCTTATATATCGAAAACAAGCATTCGGACCCTTTATTTTTTTCTACTTATTTAGTTCCTTTATTTATATAATACCAATTCAAAAAAATCTTTTAAAAAGCTTGTTATTTTAAAACAGAGTAGCATACATACTTAATGCAAACGTTGGTTGTTTGATTTATCAGCGATGATTGATTTGACTTTTTTCATTTTCCTTGTGAAAACAGAAACTAATGATACAAGAAAATAAAACATTTTTCACATTTTAATAAAGAACGTCATTCAGATATTCGAGGACTCATTTCCCGTTGAACTATAATTATAATGAATTTGATAAATGGTCAGTTGATAAGTAACTCGGTCAGTTTATTGGTCTGTTGAAAGTTAACCCAAGTTTACTGTCTTCTATTTATATCTAAAGATTATAAGGACACATATATCATTGTCTTAATTTGATATTTAAAGATTTTTAAACTTTAACAAGACATTGATATTTTATTTCTTCAAAGCAAATAATCTGCTTTGTGTTTGTATAGCTTTACTCATTGACAGGAACGCCAAATGCGAAGGAACAGCAAGCGGAATTGTATCGAACTCCTTCCGATTCCAGGAACGTGAAACACGATGGAACAGTGAGAGGAATTGTATCAAACTTCTTCTGGTTCCAGGAACACCAAATACAAAGGAACGGTGAGAGGAATTGTATCAAACTCCTTCCGTCTTCAGGCACGCCAAATGCGAAGAAACTATTAGAGGAATTGTATCAAACTGCTACCGATTTCATGAACGCCAAACGCAAAGAAACAGTGAGCGGAATTGTATTGAACTCCTTCCGATTCCAGGAACACCAAATGCAAAGGAACAGTTTGAATAATTATATCGAACTCCTTCTGATTCCAGGAACGCCAAATGCGAATTAACAGTGAGCGGAATTGTTTCGAACTTCAACTGATTCCAGAAACGCCGAAAGGCAAAGGAACAGTGCAAAGGAACAGTGAGAGGAATATTATCGAACTCCTTTTGATTCCAGGAACACAAAATGATAATGAACAGTGAGAGGTATTGTCTTGAACTCCTGCTGATTCCAGGAACACCAAATACTAAGGAACAGTTAGATGAATTGTATCGAACTCCTTCTGATTCCAGGAACGCCGAAAGGCAAAGGAACAATGAGCGGAACTGTATCGAAGTCCATCTGATTCCAGGAACGACAAATACAAAGCAGCAGTAAGAGGAATTGTATCGAATTTCTGCTGATTCCAAAAAAGCCGAAAGGCAAAGGAACAGTGAGAGGAATATTATCGAACTCCTTCTGATTCCAGAAACACTAAATGCTTAGGAACAGTTATACAAATTGCATAGAACTCCTATCGATTCCAGGAACACCAAGTGCAAAGGAACAGTGTGAGGAGTTGTATCGAACTTCTTTCGATTCTTAATACTTATTTCCGACCTACTGCAATTTCTTTAAGGGAAAATCCTAAATGATAATTATTAATACCTATCTTTACTGCCCCTGTTTCTTGATTTCGTTTCATTGTCGACGTTGATATTATTTTGGAAATCTGGTCAAGAACTTTTCAACATGTTGAGGTATAAAAAAAAAATCAACTGGAAAGACTTATTCTATACAAATACATCATGCTTACAAGGGGTATTGGACAAAAAATCTGGTTGAGAATAAACAAATTTCCAGAACCGTTAGGTAACTTTTTACAAATTACTCAAAACTGGCCAGTAACGTGCACCATGAACAGACTGATTTCCTATATTACTTTAAGAAAACAAAAAATCAGCGTAATAACCAAGTGATGCCATTGATGTGTTAATATAAGTAAAATATGTATAAACTAAAACAATTGTTTACCTGACCATCAAGTTAAAACAAGTTTGAATTAGCTTAATATGCTAACAATAATAAAAATGGTGTCTAGATCTTTGACATTGAGATATTGGGTTTATATATATGTATTTGTAGGAAAAAACTAACAGATAAAAAAAAAAGGGGGGGGGGAGTAACAATGAAAATGAATTATGTTATGTTAAGTATTCTTTACACAGAAAATAATTACTGACCATTTAGTTTCTTCCGTGTTTTGTTTTAGTGTAAAGTTCACTTTTTATTTCCGCAGCTCTATTTGTTTTATCAAATGACTGTATGACTGACTTGATGGAGTGTCTTGCTTCCTTTCAGTTTTATTCAGAGAACTTAAACATTTGACTCTTGAATAAACCGTTGTTCATCTTGAAATGGTAAACCTATTTACTATATATTAAGATTCTAAAGATTCTTCAAATTGTGTAGTAACATTTTACAAATTAATCCAAACCGGTCAGAACCGTGCACCATGAACATACTGATTTTCTATATAACTTTAAGAAAACAAAGATCAGCGTAATAATGCATAGATAAATTGAATGATACCATTGATACATAAGGATTTGTAAAAATATATAAATAAAAGTTATTGTTTACCTTCCATCTTGTTAGCCTGTTGTGGGTTAAGTACAAAATATATGTATCTACTTGAAATCTACTTTATTTTATTTCCGATGAAACTTTTCATTTATACACACGTAATGCTATATTTGAGTCATTATAAATGTTGTGAATATAAAAGATACGATAAAATATAAAACAATTGCTGTATCACCAAAGGGTCGAATTACGGTGTGAATATTTTTTTTCCCTGTTAAATGTTGATGCTATACAAAGGTTTCGTCAGCAGTCCACAAATATTTGTTTAAAGTATTATACATTGGACATTGTTTTTAACAGCAAACCATAAAACATAACTAGAAATCGGAGTAGAAAAGGTCTTGGCTATGAAGATTTCAACGAAAGACGTAAAGATAATAGACAATGTTCCAATTGAAGAGTATATGCCGTTACTGGAAAATAGATCAACGCCTAATTGCTAGAACAATTGTTCGCTATGTATCTTATAATGGTGTACTATAGTATAACAACATCACATGACTGTTCGCATGTAAGAAACATAGTCGGATCATGACCAATTGAATGTTGATAGATATCAATTAAACAATCAATTAACATATAACATAAGTATTATACACAAATAAGTATGAAACAGTTTTTGAAGCAAAAACTTTATTTTCACTGTGTGATACTTATATGATTGTCTATTTCACTGCATAGCCAAACGTTTTATCGTTTTATAAAAAGCTTAACAATTTAAACAAACAAGTTTTGTATTCAAAAGCTTCATTGTTTGGCTTTAAACAGGCGGAACTCGATAGTTTGAAGTCGAAGTGACTCGACACAAGCCTTTAAGTCATTCGAGATGGTGGGTTACATACTTGGTTTTACTGGGCAAATCCATCATTTCGATCTTTTTCATCACATTTAAAACACATGCTTTTAATGAAAAGCTACAGAAAACATTAAAAATAAATGTTCACAATGATAAGTTAAGTCACCTGACAAACGTGAGTTCCCACTCAAAAAATGTCATTAATATGTAGACATGTCTGGCATTTTCTTATGTAGAAAATTGTGAATTAAACCTTGGTTGATAGCTAGCTAATACACTCTATTAATGGCTACTTGTGAATAGTATTTTGATTTTTTTATTATGATATAAAACATATCTTATGTTATTTATTTCAAATAAATCAGTCTTGGAGTTACTTTTTAAAACATTTTGAAAAAACTATTGATTGAAGTTGAAATGATAGGACATATTTTTAAGTGGGAACTCACTTTTGTCAACTGACTGTACATGTACGCTGCAGAAGTTATATAGAATAAAATCAAGGAAATATAAATGGTGGAAGTTAGTATATATGGATATATTCATCTGTCCTCTCTGCTGAAATGTGTTGAAGTCTTAATTTTGTTTTTATTTTTGTCATCACTCAATTGGTTTTTTTTTTAATATTTTACCTTTCAAACTTGTGAAATATACCCGATAAAATAATACAGAAACCTGCTTATAAGCCGAAATTAGGTTCTAAAATATTGAATGCTGTACGACGGTCGCATCAAATGTGTGAACAAAACAAACAGATATAGTAATTAAAATTGTTACAAATAGGGGTACAACAGTTACACCATGTGTGTTATATTCTTAATCATTATTAGACAACAAACATATGTATAAACAAAGAAAAACAAAATGGCATATAGACATAGCACATTAGCAAAATTAAAAGACGGTTGCGGGATTTTCTCGCTGAGTAGAAGACCCATTGATGGCCTTGGTCTGTTTTTGCTGTTTAGTAGGGTTGTTGTCTCTTTTGACACATTCCTCGTTTTCAATCTCTAATCTATTTACAAACGTGGTCTGATTTTCCAACATTTTGAGTTTTTTCATTGAATAATTTGACATTTTTGAATGCATATTAGGAGACGCGTATCTTGTCGGAACATACTGAAAATGCCATGACAAAAAAGAAAAACGACCAAATAAAAACAAAACATAAAACAAAAACAAAAACAAAAACAAAAATAAACAAACAATATCTGTTTATTTGAAGTGACTTTCAGGAAAAAAAATCATGTAACTCAATCAATATTTATATATGATCTGTATTGTTCGTCATTCTGTAGTGACAAGTTGCTCCATCAAGGTAATTTGATACTTTTTCCAGGTAGAATTATATATTGAACCCGTTTAATGAAATTTAATTGTGCCTCATAGACAATTATTATCACAATTATCTCAATTTCCGAAGGTCAAATGAGTACACATATGTCACATTTAACCTATTAATGAAAGTCTCTTTGCCGCAGAATTGCGAAATTCGGACGGGTATGATTTAACTGATTGTAAAAATGCGTGTCTTGCGGATTCCTTATCGCCTAGTAACTGTAGAGCGATTCCCAACAGATTATAAGCTCCAGTTTTTAAATATGGAGATGCCATTAAATAACCTTCATCTATAACCAGTTGTAAACCTTGGAGGGAATATTGGCATTGTCTGACATCATTGAGATGATAATAAATTACAAAGGCAATTAAGGAAATAAGCATACGCTGTAGATTGAAATACACACACGTTATTCAATTGGTTTATTTGAAGTTCATCTGGTAATAACGTAGAATTCTCATCAAATAGTACATAGCCCACAACCAATGTTTTCAGAAAATATACCAAATTCTTTTTCTGTAATGTTCGCTGTATTAACAACTGGAGATGGATATCCGAAAACGTCATCGAGTGGCAGAGAATTTCGGGAGTACATTTCGATAAAGAATATCTGACGATGTATAAAGCTTTACTGTACTGGTTTGTCTTATAGAAAAGAGAAGCAACCATCAGCCATCCAGATACAGCGTCATGATAGATATTTTCTATGACAAAACTAAGACAGGATTTGTACTGTTTGTATTGGTACTTAGTATTACGTAATGTACTCATGAGTCGAACACGCTGGGCATGAACATGACGGTACTTTGACATGTTGAATTTATATACGTCTTCAATAGAAGACTTAGAAGACCGACGACTCGAAAATGTCTGTATCATCCTAATATTCATTATATTTGGTGGCTTGAATGTTAAGGTAGGATTTGCAGAAAGGAATAACTTGGATGAAAGTATTTTTTCTACTTCTTTTGAATAAAGTGCATGCGGTTCGATGGAGAAATTCCAAATAGATAAATTAAAGATAGATATTTGATCAGAAAATAAAATGCATCGCCAATTATAACTATGCAACATATATAGTTTTTCTAAAAGTATTGTACGAGCATGGCCCACAATTTTGTTTTCGAACATGTTGTTCTCCGGAATGAAGTAATGTAAGCAAACTGAGTGCTCAACACAATAAACCAGCCTGCTGAAACATCGCATAAAACAAGGAATAATGTAATAAGGTTTCCATACGGAATGTGGCAGTTCTTCAGATATCCAGAACAAAATTGTTTTCAGGAAGTAAGAACAGAGTAAATCTTTACATTCGGAGAAAGTAGATATTACATCTTTCAATATAATTTTTAAGAGGGCATAGCACAGTAGTTGAGTGTGTGTAAAGGTATTAATTAGAATTTTTTCACCAACTGAAAAAGATATTCGCCATTATATTTTCTTTTGGTGAGCCCTTAACTCCGATTGGTACAAAAAGTACTCCGTGATTTATAATACTTTGTTTGACATTATGACTCGGCCATGAATTGTTTGATTTTGTGATCCACTGCCCTGCAGGAGATACCCACGTGTTACAATGTAAACAACAAGCTTAGTCCAAATATCCTGTCGGGTCAGATATACAGGGTCCATGAATCGTACTTAGATTAGCTTTGTTGACGTGCAGTTGTTTATATAATGTACTCGAAAAATAATATTCACCATTTTGTTGTTCACATTGTTTTAAATCACTCCGAAATTCGCAATGATCTAGTTTCAACTGCGCATAACCAGGTTTAACATCGTCTATTTCCATTGAAAAATATATTTTATTTGGATTAAACTGGAGTTTTTCATCTTCATAAACCTCTAAGGTTCTTGATACATACATTATATCTAAATCACTGCCTCGCATATCAAGTCGTTCACCAAAACTTCCACTTGTTATAGTTGTTTCTTTCTTGTTACTTTGTAAAGTGTCCCTGACAGCGTTCATCAATCTAATTTGTTTAACTTGATCTTCTGAGCCTACTATATGTTGACACAGATAACGATACAGTGCAATTGATATATTTGGTGTTATAGTGTCTGTAATAAGAAAAAATAAAATGAAAACTGTGAATAAAAAAGTACTATTAATTTAAAGTAAATACATTTTACATGACACACAGATTACACTTTATTCAAAATGTAAACAAAGATAATGATACAGTGCTATTGATATGTTTGGTGTTACAGTGTCTGTAGTAAGAAAACATGAATCAAAAACTGTGAAAAAAAAAAGTTCATTTTACTATTAAACATTTGTTAAAGTAAATATTTTAAAAAATAATTTAGGGTTCGTATAAGGTGAAGAAAACACGTCATTGAAATGCGACTGCAATACACATTCTGAGGTCACGCAGGTTCATACAACACTCGACAACGTGCCAATGAGACAACTCTTTATCCAAGTCACGTGAACCATTATAGGTAAAAGTACGGCCTTCAACACGGAGCCTTGGCTCACACCAAACAGAAAGCTAAATGTTTCATCTTACACGCCACTCATGCTGCATTTGCACTCATACCAAATCTTCCTAATTCTATTCATTCAAAAATACATAAGAGAGAAAACATGCATTTGAAATAAAACGGTAACATATATGGAATTCCAGTTATTTTGGGCAGAATTGTGATACATATAATTTAGATAATTGATTTCTTATGTCTTTACTATTTGTTGCAAAAAAATAAACGTCATGTCATTGTTTGAATTCAAAGCAATACAAACCCAGTTAGACTGCAGTCTTGTAATTGACTGCTCCATAGGCTTACATGCAAAACAGCTGATCATTGAAATTTTTTAGAAAATAAAATGCTTAATACAATTTCTTTTTTTGTATATATCATGTATGTAGCAATACGA